AAACCCTAAACCCTAAACCCTAAACCCTAAACCCTAAACCCTAAACCCAAAGGATCCATGGGGCCCGGAGATCCGGGCGGCCAACAACAGCGGCTACCGGCAACACGCCACCATGTGCCGCTTCTTTTGCACGCCACCAAAACCAAGCACCGGATCCAGGCCATCGAAGACAGGGCGCAGCGTTCCAAAGCCCTTGCCGCAAGGCGGTTTTTGTTGAACCAAGAGGACTGCTCCTATGTCCAGTTCGAGGCCGAGCACCACGAGTTCCTGGAGAAGCACCCTGCTGCCACTGAGCGCCAACGGCGCCGCCGCCTGCAGTTCATCGAGGCGCCGGCAGTGGAGACGGCCGCGTGGCCGCACCTCTTCTTCTCGGATGGCATGTGCTTGACGGCGGTCCGCAACACGGACATTCGCCGCCGAGGCCGTGCGGCCGGGCCCACCTTGGAGGAGTTCGTGCGTGGCCGCCCTCGTTCTCGGGCAGACTCGGAGGACGAAGAGGAGGACAACGCAGATGGCCAACGCCATAGCGTCAAGCGAGCCTACGCCGCGTTGGCCGTGTGCGCTCGCATTGGCTACGGCAGCTCCTATGAAGTGCTGCACTTCGCCTACGACTTGACGCTCTGGTCGGCCCTGGGCGCGAAGAAGCGCACCAGCACCGATTGGGACATACCCATGCGGGTCCTCATAAAAGGGCACTCTTTCAGTCCCCTCTACTGGCGGTCTGTGCACTGGGCGCTCATCGACTTGGTCCGGCAGATGGGCTACCCGAAAGTTTTCTGGACCATGTCGCCCTATGAGTTCTCCATGCCGTACCATGCCTGGCTGCTGGATGAGCTCGCCAAGGACCTGCGCGGCCGGCTGCACCTGGCCGTCCCGGAGAGCTTGCACGTGACCCATGTGCTGTTGCAGGTCATCCGAGGCGGGCATCCGGCCGGCCTCGGTCCACGCTGTCTCTTCGGTTCGCTTCTCTCGGACGGCTGCGTTTCGTCGCCTCGCGCGGGTCGTTCTCTCGCTCTGCTCCATCCTTGTGCAGGTCTGTTGGCGGGGAAGACCGGAGTGAGATCCAAGGATCCTTGGAAGCGCCACCTCCTGCAAGCCCTTGACGCGGACGGCCGGCCACACCCTGTCCAAGTCTTCCTACGGGTCGAGTTTCAAGATGGCACCCGGAAAGCCCCCACACAAGACTACCATGGGTCCGGGCGACCGCACGTCCATGTGCTGATCTTCTGCTCCTCCGCCGCCGTGGCGGCCATGAGCCTTCCGCAGGCCGTATCGGCCGCGATGCCCGAGCCCGAGGATGAAGCCGACATCTTTCCCGGCGTGGTGCGGAGCTCGCAGTGCGATCGCTCTGGCCGCAGTGGCTGGCCGGTGGAATCGCAGGACAATCGCTGGGACGCAGAGGCCAAGAAGCTGCGTCTGAGGCATCCGCCTGCGGACCATGCCCGTGGGCTGCGGCCCTTCTTCGTGGACGTGTTGGATGCCCTTCGTTGCCACCAAGATTTTCAATTCGCTGACGACGACGGTGCCTTGCGCGCCTACGTCGCCAAGTATGTCAGCAAGTTCAGTGATGCCAGCCAGGAGGAATGGCTGAATGACAAGGCCTCCGGTGACAGCATCGCGGCGACGGTCCTCTGCCGCTACAAGCCTCTGGAACCAGAAATGGCCCTCCAAATGTTCGGAGCGAGATTCCGGCAGTGGTTTGTCACCACGGAGACACGTGGGAAGCGGGACTTCGTGGTCCCCTGGCCGGAGAAAGACCTGCAGCCTAAGGAGGTGCAACTCTACATGGACGCGGGCTGGGCAGCCGGCAAGATCTCCTTGCTTGACTTCTTGCGGAAGACGGGATCCAACGGGCAGATCTTGGCTTGGCTGAAGAAGCTCCACGCTGCCAGTGGCTCGGACGAATCCTTGGGGGACTTCGCAGCGCAATATTCGGTGCAGGGGGAGAAGGTGGTTGCAGCCGAGTGCCTGTCCAAGTTCAATGACCTCTTCTTTGGGCAGTGGTTGATGTTGCACGTACCCTTTACTGACCCGCGTGACTTTGTGGTGCCCGTGGCCGCGCAGTTGGCCAAAGTGCCCGAGGAGCACCGGTGCTTTGCCATGGCCATGTTGTGCGAGCACCCCATCGCTCTGGCCATGTGGCACTCCGAGGCGGCCATCGAAGAGGAGCTGCGCATGGAAGCCACGTCCAAGCCTTTCGTGCAGACCACCCTGGCCATGATTGCAGCGCATCGACAGCTCGTGCAAGACTACGTGGCTGGCCGCCTCGATGCCGCCGCGGAGGCTGCGGCCCGAGAGGCAGCCAAGGAGCAGGCGCGGCCGGATGGAGCGGGGCACCTCCTTGCATTCAATCGTCAACAACGACACTTGCAAGGCCGGGTGGATGAAGCAGTGGATCGATCTTTGCGGGCCCGCTGCGCCGAGAGCGAGGCAGCCGCCGATGAACTGTTGGAGCAAGCCTACAAGGATGGAAAGATCTTCGTCTGCACCGGTGGTCCCGGCACCGGCAAGACAACTGTGGCCTTGGCTTGCTTGACTCGTGCTGTCGAGCTCGGCGGCAAGGTTTTGTTCGCCTATCCCACCAACCGACAAGCCAGTCGGATGCGGGCCCGCTTGCCGGAGGAGGTGGCCGTGGACACCTACCACGCGGCCTTTGGCTTGGATGAAGAGCCCGGCTCGGTCGTGGTGGCGCTCTCTCACTATGACCTTGTCCTGATCGACGAGATCTCCCACCTCCAGGCAGAACACTTCGAGCACATCTGCCGTCTTTGGAACCAAGCGGACAACCTGCCGGCCATCCTCTTGACGGGCGACGAGCTCCAGCTGAGTGGCTTCGGTGAGCGGCGTGCTTGGCACAGCCGGATGTGGAAGGGCATGACGTTTCGGGCGAAGCTCCACGAAGTCTACCGGTGCAAAGATCCCGAATTCAACGCGATCCTGCAGGAGCTGCGGACCAGCCGCCCCAGTGCAAAGACCCTCAAGTGGCTCCAGAAGCGCAAGGCCTGGACGCCTCCCCACAAATTGGATGTCTCGGCCGCGCGGAAGCTGCTCAAATCCCATCCCGACACGGTGGTCTTGACCTGCACACGGAAGGGGGCGCAGACCATCAACGAGCTCGCCCTCCAGGCGCTGTTCCCGCGCTTTCCTCCGCTCGCTGTCCTGGATGGAGATGTGGCTTCCAATCCCGAGAATTACCACGAGGGAGCCCTGCTGGAAGACCTCCGCGCCTTGCGTCCGCTCCGCCTGCCCATCTTCAAGGGAATGCGAGCGGTGTTCACGCGCAATGTCCGCAAAGATGTCGACTTCGTGAACGGCATGGACTGCGTGGTGCAAGGCTCCGTGGGTCGCACCAAGGCCGTGGAAGTGTTGACGGCCACGAACCACCGGGTCATGGTGTGGCCCTGGACCGAACCCGAGCTCGGCAACCTCAGCTACTATCCCCTGAAGGCGGGGTATGCCGACACCATCATCAAATACCAGGGCGCAGAGCTGAAACACGTCACTGCCTTCTTGGATTGTCCGGGGATCCCTGGGGCTGCGTACACCGCCCTCAGACGAGTCAGTTTCGGCAAGGACTTGCTGGTCGGTGGCGTGGTGACCGCTGCGCACTTTCAGCCGGTCGACGAGTCCTGAGGCTGTTGGTTGGTTCGCGCTTCGCCGGCGAAGGTGCCCGGTCGAAATTGGTCGGTGATTACTTCGATCCATTTCGTACGTTTGGCCGGTCCCTCGTTCGTGCCCGTGCCGAGGGATACCGGTCCACCATGAATGAGTCTATTTTACCTTTCAACTTTTGTCCGGAGCGCGCGCGCTCCTTGTTTCAAGCGACCCGGTCGCCACGACACACCGATGACACGACGAACACAAAAGAGAAAGCCCGTGGCCTGTGCTCGTTTCGACATGCGTTTCCTCTCACACCCCGTCCTCCATGCACCACCTGGCAGGCGCAGCTCGCCCGTCCACGTTGCGACGCGCGCGCCTTCCTCGCCAACGGCCCTATTTGTGGCGTGCCTCGACTGCATCTTCGTTTCGGGCGGAGGTTCGGCGCTTCGCTTCCTTCCTCTCGCTCGCGCCGCCCCTCCGCTCTATAATGCGCACATGCATCCATGCATCGGCCAAAATCGAAAACTGTAAGTAAAAGGGTGGTTAGGCCAAGCCTGAGGGTTCAAAGAACCCTAAACCCTAAAAGGTTAAGGTTTGGGTGGAGCGCCAGCGGGGGTGGGATTTGTCCGCGGACGCGGCGCGCGTGTGAATGGTGAGGGGGGGCGTGAAAGCAGGTTGGATAGCCCCCCCGTGAGCGCACACGCGCGCTTGACCATTGACACCCTAAACCCTAAACCCTAAACACTCTTTACCTATAGTTAATAAACCTTAAAGGAATTCGATCCCTCAGGCCTGACCCTGACCCAGGATGCGTGGTCAGGCTTTACTTTTCATTGGCGATCGGCCCGGTTCGCGGCAAATCCTGGGGTGGGCTCCACGACTGGCTGCCCGTACCACAGAGGCCAAGCCATCTGTGTTTTATTTCTTTTATTCTCAAAGCCTTCACTTAGACAAGTGGTCTTGTGGCCTAGTGGCTAAGACGTTGGCTTTGGAACCCTTGGTGTCCAAAAGGTCCTGGGTTCAACTCCTCCCTGGCTCCTTTGTGCTTCTTTACTTTCTGCGCGAGGCGCCAGGGAGGCAGGAAAGGACTCATTGGACAGCTTGCGAGGCTCCAGGGAGGCAGGAAAGGATCGATTGGACAGCCTGCGAGGCGCCAGGAGGCACCAGGGAGGCTGGGGTCCACGGTTGGCTGCCTGTAGCGCAGACAAGACCCTGAGCCAGGATGCGTGGTCAAGCTTAACTTTTCATTGGCGATCGGCCCGGTTCGCGGCAAATCCTGGGGTGGGCTCCACGGATGGCTGCCTGTAGCACAGACGAGCTCCCTGAACCAGGATGCGTGGTCAAGCTTAACTTTTCATTGGCGATCGGCCCGGTTCGCGGCAAATCCTGGGGTGGG